TTCAAGTGCTCCAAACTCAATTGAAAATATCTAAAATAAATGAATTTGTTCCAAGCTTTAAAGAGTTCAGCTAAGCATTCGGAAAGCGTGGAAAGTATCAACAAAATGATTTATTTTCGCCGGATGACAAAGTTGATGCTGCGGCACTCATTAACCAAACTAAAGGCAGCCTTTGATGATGCACAAATACATGTATACAATCAGGCAAAGCACACACCCACACATACACACACGCATATAGAGAGAATTTTATCATTGCATTTGCGCTGTGCCACGAGCAGCCAAAGTGAGCCCCGCTCGCTGCCGCCCACCCAAAAAAACGAGTAGCAGACGCAGCAAGCCGTGGCAAAAGCTAACCAAAGTGTTGCACTTACTACATTTAAATGAAATTAAACATATTTCCTGCAGCTGTAAAAGCGGCGCGAATGTACAGACAGCGGCGACACGGTGCGCCAGACAGACAGAATTAATTTGTTGAATGCATCTGAGTGGATGGGTGGTTGGGCGAAATCACAGTACGCTGCGAGCTGCGTGCTGCGAACTGCTGTGGGTGCTGCCAACAGCCTGCTGCCTTCTGCCTGCTACGCGAATTTGTAAGATGAAAGTTTTGCGCTTGAAGCTTATCTTAAGTGTGCGCACGCTTTGCACTCAACTATTTTCGCTGAATGCTGAAGCGGCTGTAGGCAAAACTTTGCCGACAAATGTGGTTTCCGCTTGTGTGTCTATGGGTGTGTGAGTGTCTTCGTGTGTGTTTGTGCTGGCTGTAAGTGGCGCCTGAATTCACGTTGTGGCATAATTTTCGCGCTTTTGTGCGCATAATTTAAATGACTTTTGAAAAGTTGCTCAAGTGGCGCCAGCGCCAGCCACCAGATAACCGAAAGGTGTCCCTCTGTCTCTGTCTGTGTCTGTGTTTGTGTCTGTCTATATATGTTATAATTATGATAATGTTAGTGTGCCCAAGTGGTTTACATGCTTGTGGCTAAAGTTGTTAACCAAATTGAAGCGCACGGCTTTAAGCTGGTTGTTGTTGTGGCACGTTGCGTATACGCAGCGTGTGCGTGCCGAGTGAAACGTTTTGTCGCCAAAAACTTCGTCTGGCCATCATGAGAACAAACAAATTATGCGCTTGCTGTTCAAGTGGTGCGCTGTGCGTTGTCGGTGGCTCTTTGGCCGTGTTGGTTTGCTGGCGATTTAGTGTGCTGCGTGTCGAGCTTAATTGCGCAACGTCAACGCGCCAGCTCAAATCTATGCAAATAACATTAAATTATTAAACAGTTTTCTTTGCGTTGCGAATGTTTAGCATATTTTGTGTTAAACTTGTTTGCGTGTCTCAAACAATTAGCAGCCTCAGACACACACACACACACCCGCCCACATACACACACACATGGTTGTTGCAATTGTTGTAAAATAAATGCGCTCATTAACGTTTTTGGGCCTAAACGCCAGCAAAGAGTCAAATGTCAAAATACCCCACCGTAAAGCCGCACAAAATGCCAGCGCTGAGACCAAAAGGCATTTGCATAAATGCGACGCCGACGCCGATGTCGACGTCGACGTCGACGTCAACGTCGGCTGCGCTGCCGTAATTGAGCGCTGAATTAGATGCAAATTGCTGAATAAAACAACAGTTATTTATGTTCGTTACTTTGTTAGCCATTTTGTTTGGCTTAGAGCCCGTCCAGTTTCTCCCCTCAGCTTGGTATCAATCAACCTAAGTTTTTTCGTTTATTATGCTTATTTGCGCGTAATAATAACTGCTTACAATTAATCTCAATCTTAAATACAGATTTTATGCGTTCGTTTTGTTTGCTTTGTTATTATTTATGATTTTCAATGTAGTTAGTTTGTTTATATTACAATAGCTTAGCTGTTTAGCCGAGCGGCTGTTGAACATAGTTGAGTTAAGGCTTAACAATAAAATGCAAACTTAAAATATTTCTGATACAAAGCAAAAAAATGATTAAATTATAAATAAATACTAAGTAGTTAATTAATTAGTTGTTAAACATTTCAAACCAGTAAAAGTTGTTCTTTTCAATTACCTTTTTTTGGCATAGTTTTTATTAATTTCTTTTGCCGCTCCGCTAATTCGAATTCTTAGCTTAAACAATTATTATTATTATTAATTTCTGTCTCATTTTTTGCAGCTCTCAATATTAATTAGGAAAATGTTCCGTTTTGCAAAAGCTTGCGACATTTAGAATACTATTATTGATTTGACATTTTGTCGTAAATTTTCAATACAGGCAACAAACAACATAATTATTTATATGTATATATATATATATTAGTTTATAATATATATGTGTGTATGTTTATGCATATTATAATTTATTACAATCATTTTCACTTAATTTCTCTATGAATTATTTATAGTTAAATAGGTGTAAATACGAGCACCGCCCGCTTTTAATGTACTTTACTTTCATTTTGTTTGATTTCAATTTAATTTTCGGCTTTTGTTTTCAGAACTTGTTAATATTTATGCCTTTTGAAATGGAATACTACTTTTATTTATTTATTTATTTACGTTGTAGTTGTTTTTTTGTCAAGACTGTTTTAATTATATTGCGCTGTGTTATTGAGTTTTATTGTGGCAATAATTATTTATAATTGTTGTTAGCTATTTACATAAAAAGGCAATTTCAATTTACAGCGTTTTTATTATATGCAAATATTTTTCTAGAAATATGTAAAACTAATTCGTGTATTTACATTTCGTTCGAGTTGTACAACAAAAAGGGCAACAATTGAAGTCGACAGTTGACAGCGTTTAATTAATCAAAAACGAAAAGCGAAGAACTTTAATTAATCAGCAATAAATAACATTGCGTATTTGTGCAAGAAAATAAATTTAATGCGCATGTTGACAATTTTGGCCTGTGGCCCGCATGTCCTTGGGGCGAAAGGCGTGCTGCTGCTGCTGCCTTATGGTTTGCATTTATAATACTTAATTAGCTGCATTGTTCGCGATAATGGCAGAAGCGACAATGCATGTAAGTCAATATGCGCATGTCCTTATTTGTCCCACAACAACAGCAACAGTAACAATCATATGAAGAGCACAAAAATAAATAAAATTAAATAAATAAAAAGCGTTTATTGTGTGGCATCGACAATGTTGACTATTCATATTTTCACTTTGAATACACTCATTTATCTATGCGCCGCAGCGAGTCCTTTTGCAGTTAACAGCGGTTAACAGTTGTGCATCTTGCCACGTGCGGCAGCTTTGATGCAACACGGCTTAAATTATTAAAACCGTATACAGTTATGGCAACAACAACAGCAACAACACATGACATAAATACAGTAAATTGGCAGCTGCGTTCACCCTTCCCCTCCCAATTGCCCACAGGACGACTTTGGCCCATTTTATATATGTATATATATATATATATGTGTGTATGCAAATGCGCTATATATCTTCTGGCCTTAATACCATTTTTCTTGCTGTCGCTAGCGCTGGGGTTCGACTGGGCAGTCAGCCGTTGGGGCCGCCTTTGGGGGCTGCGTCATTGGTCTGCATGAATTATGACCAATAAATTGGACATGTTAACTGTGTGTCATTGAGCGCGGGGATACGAGAGAGCGAGAGAGTGAGTGAGTGAGTGAGAGAGGGCGAGAGTGAGGTTGAGAGACCGCAGGCCACGCAATTTTATGCTGAAATTAATTGCAAGTATTTCGCGCAGACAACGTTTCAGCGTGTCGTGCCACGGGTCGTATGAGTAATAATATAATTAGCATGTGCATTTATTAAAAAATGATGAAAGCGCACAAAAGCACAGCATGGACGTACGACAAGGATATGCACAGAAGCCAGTAAAGCAGCAATTTGCCGGTCTACGAAAAATCAAGCCAATACGAGACACGTGAACGTTGCCGGAATATTATTATTGCAATTTCTTTTCTCTTGTTGCCGTCGGGAAGGGAAGGGAAGGGGGCAAGCCGAGGGGATTGGATCGAGTCGAGGTCGGTAGGTGAGCTTAATGTAAAAATTAATCACATTTTGAAGGCGTTTTAATGCCTGGACCAAACCTGGCAGCAACTGTGTAAAGCCTTGACGAACTAACTGGCGCTGCGTTTCGCTTTGGGCCATGGCTTGGTCACAATTTTCCTTTCTCCTTTTTTATTTCAAATAATTGCAATTTTATGCATATTCAGAGTGTTCCGTGATGACAAAGACGAAGCCCCAAAGACAAATCCTTATAGACTGACAATATTTGCAACTAAAGAGAAAATAAAACAAAAATATAAAATAAAATAATTTATAACTGTCAAAAAAAGCAAGAATATATTAGTAACGAAATTTCATATGTATTTCCATCATAAGTTCACGTCGAGAGGGAGATATGATAAATTCAGTTTGTTTTAAGATATGACATTTTCTTTTTGTTATTTTCTTTTTTAAATTAATTATAATGCAAGTGTGCAAACTGCACGTATATTCCTTTCCATGCGAGATTCATTTAGCAGCTGTCTAAGGAAAAATATTATTTAAGTCTAGGATAATACACGATGGCAAAGCTTTTAGCTCAGTGAAAATCAAATCCTAAAAACACATAACACAAAGGCTCAACAATTTTATTTTCATTTATATACATATAAACCATATATATATATTATGTATATAATACACACATATATAAATATATATATGCATTTCATACAATTTTTTTATGCTTCTTTTTCTAGTCTGCAGGTGTGTCTGAGTGCATCTGCCTCTGTCTGTCCGTGTGTATCTTATGTTTGTAAGTTTTCATATTGTACATAGAATGAGCATTTATTATTGTTGCTACACACATTAGCAAAAATTGAAAATATTTCTTTATTTATTTGCGTTTTCAGTTTCAATTTTCATTTTACAAATTTTGTTCGTTTGAGAGCTATTCCACATATTATTACAGCTATAAACATTATTAGTGTTTTATATATATATATATATTAATTTTTTTCAGTTTTCAGTTTGTTTCAGCTGCGAAATAAATACACCCCTAATTACTAACCCTTGTACCCCCTTTGGCTGCATTTTACAAATGCCTTTTATTATTTTGGAGCAACTAAATTATTGATTTCAGAGCGCAGCGAACAGCAAAACTAATCCTGCGCCCAGCCAGCTTAGCCTATGCTCAGCCAGAGCTCCAGCTGTGGCCAAACAGAATGCAGCACAAATAGATTTTTATATACATATTTGTATAAGAATTTCGTTAGATTGATCAGTTGAGCCAACTTACCCAGTGAGCTGGCGTACTCGTTCGGTGGACGTTCCGTAAAGAAAATGCTTTTGCCTATCGCCAGGGAGCCCTTGCCGCCGGCTCCGCTCAATGCCGAGAGGCTATTGCCGGCGGCGCCACCGGGCAGCAAGGAGGTTTGCATCGAGGAGGAGGAGGCGGCCGAGGAGCTGGAACCCGCCGATGATGAGCCACTGCCAGCATACAAATCGTTTTTCATGGCATAAAGATCCGTTTGCAGCGATTTTGTTGTATCGTTGCGTAAAGATGGTATTATATTGCCTAGAGGAACGAGTGTGGAAACAAAAACTAAAATTAGCATGCTTCGCCTGCTTTTTGCTATGGCTAATAACTCAATAAGAAGAACCTTGCTCCCCGTCCCACTGTTTGCTTAACCTTTGCTGACATGGTTTTCAAGTTAAATTGTGTGGAAATCTTGTGGCAGCCACTTGGCTGCGATACAAAAATTCACGACGCGCACAAACACCAGCGATGTGCACACCTACAGGCGCACATACACATACAAACACTCCTGCATATATAGATATAACACATCCTTTTGTTGCCTGGGAAGGATTACGTTCCGTTGCAGTGGCAGTCGCCGTCGCGCCAGTCACTTTAAATAAAATATGTTTGGTCCTTTCTCAGGAGTTGCCGTTGTTGCTGGCTGCGCGGCAGTGTTTCAAATGTGTTTCCAACCTAATGCCCCCGAAAATCCCCAACAGCATAATCCGCAGCATATTGCTTTGCCCTGGACTTGCAGCCGACGGGCACACAGAGAACTTGAAAGTGTGTGTACTTTTCTGCTCGACTTGAGTTTCGAAAGCCCCACGTTGAAATAGTCAAAAGTGCTTTGCTTTACTTTATCTCTTTCTGTGGGCGTGTCGCTGTCCCCCTACATCCCACACTTTTCACTCTACATATATATATATATATATATATGTGTGTGTGTGTGTGTGTCTGTTGGTATTTGTGGCTCTGTCTGGCTTAGATGCTACTTTCGCAGTTTTGTTTGTGGCTCGCCGTATCCTGTATCCTTTTCGGTGTGTGTATGTGCATGTGTATGAGTAAGTGTTGGTTTGCCGGTGTGACTTTCACAGTTTATGCAGCGCTCGTCGCTCTCCAGGCTCTACGGGCTGTGTTAAGCACAAAAGCGAGCAGCTATACCCAGCTATTGAGCCATTCCCTTGCCCTTGCACCACCCACTCCATTCGCACACATATCGTTAACATCAGCTCGTCTGATACTATACTTACTCTCCCTGGACTCCACGGTGGTGTGTGTTACTTGTTTGGATGGTGTTGATGGCAAAGGTATTTCTGTAAAACAAAACGGAATCGAATAGCAGCGCATAATTAATTATGATAAAATCAAGCAAACGAGTTTTTAATTTCAAGCACACTCTATATGCAAGTGGGTGTATGTGTTTGTGTGAGTGTATTTTATACATTCTCTATATTTAAACTGGCATGTGTAATACATGTGCCAGCTGCGCTGCGGTTTTGTATGTCAAGTGGTGCCGGCGGAAAGGTCACAGCATTTTCTACTTGAACTCGAATGCTCAAGTTGCAAGCGCCTTAAGGAACATAAATTAAAAGCCATATATATAGAACCTCGATAAGCCACATTATTTGCCAAATCTGGGTCAACATGTTGTGGCGTACGTATATATATATATCATTTAATTGAAGCTAAAATTTCTTCGAAACTTTCAATATAACTTAAAGCCGTTTGCCATAATTTAGAGCAAACTATATGGCATATATGTAAAGTCGAGGCTGCAAAGCCTCTTATACATGTCTATGTGAAACGAGCATTAGCATTGCTGCACTCAAATATTAGTCAGGGCTCAAATTTGGTGGCTCACAAAAACATTTCTAACAAAATCTACTCGGAATACAATCAACGTATTTTTTTTATTTTTCCATATACATTTTGTGTGGTCCTCAAATGTTGAAGTGCATAAAAAATAAATAAATAAATGAAATACAGTAGAAATGAGGGAAACACAGACGAGAACGTGTTAGCCAACCAAGGCGAGGCAGCATAGGCAGACGAGGCTTTTTGCAGCGTGCACGATACAAAGTCCAACAATTCTGGAATGCACCTTTATTTTATGTTTACGTTTACGTTTACGTTTATGGTGAATGTATCTACGTGTCCTGCTGCTGCTGTTGCTGCTGTTGCCGCTGGTTTGGCAGATCCAACTGTAAAGCCGAAAGTCGAAAGCCCAAACAGACGCAGTTCAGCTCCGTTGGTGGCCGCTCGTTTAGTTTTACGCTCCAAAACACAGCGCATATATCGGAGAGCTAGACGAGCCCCAGTTCGACTCCTGCTGGATTCGGCCTGCTTGTGGGCGCCGAAGCGGCACATAGGTAAAAGCTTTTGGCAAAATTGTGGCTCAAAGGGCGCTCGATATTGCATTGGCGAAGAGTGCATGTGTGCGCGTGTGTGTGTGTGTGTGAGCGAGTGTGTTTTTGCTGCAACTAGTGCACTTAAGCTACCAATACAAATGCACTTACCATAAACACGTATGGAGCCTTCCGTTTCCCCAAGAGAATTCTTTGAGATGCATCGATAGTTGCCAAAGTCGCCATATTGTAGGTTTCTTATCGTCAGCTTCATGTGGGCGCTTTTCAAATAGGCAGATAGAGAGAGACAGCATATAGTAATGAAAGAACCAAATGGAAGACGTTCCCAAAAACAACATCTCTATCAATCTAACGAGAGCCACCAGCTCAAGCAAGTCTTAACTTAAAGTTTTTCAGCGAAATATTCAAATTGGCGTTTTGTAGCTGGAATCGTTTTTGGGAACACTTACACTTAAATGTAGTATGCTCATGACCCAGCCAGCAGCTGGCTGTTGTAGTCAAGAGCAAATGCATAATAAATATTTAACAACACTATTTTGAATTGGGCATTCAAGTTGAGGTTAAAGTTTCAAGCATTTGACTTACCGATATGAGTTCTCTGTGTAGTCGGTCTTGTATTTCTTACTCGGCAATACCATTACAGAATTGTACACCCAATAGATGATGGCTCTGCAAAATACAAGCACAACAACAACAAGTTATTCATCATATATCGAACAAAGTTGTGGGCATATGCATGGAATACGAAAACAAAGGGCATAGCTAAATCGTAGGCAGCTTTCAGCCGACTGCTGCAGGTTCAATAGAAATGGAAAACGGAAAATAACACACGCTTAAATGTACGCTGCGTGGAAATTTAATAGAAAAAAAAGAAAAACAAAAAAGTTGGAGAAGAACTCACTTGGGATGAGCCTCGGTGTGGCAATCGATGGTTACATCTGTGCCAGCTGGCGCGCCAACAAGTTGATTCGGCACCCAAATCATCGGCGAGACTGCAAGAGAGGTAAGTGAGAAGAAGCAGAGAAATGTTGATAAAGTGAATGATACCAAAGGGAAATACGAATCAATATATATATATTTATATATATGTGTAGGTGAATGGGTGTGTGTGTATGGAGTTAGACTGGTTGGCATTGCATTTTAAGCGTTTGGCCAAAGTACGCATAAGCTGCAGCTTTACGTATGTTCAATATGTGTGTGTGAGTGTGTGCGTGAGTGTGAGTAATGTCGTCTGTCTGCCAAGCTTAAAATGAAAGTGCAATGACAAAGCTAAAAAAGAGAAAACTTATGCGAGGCATGGCAATGAGACAATACGCTGCCTGCCTGCCTGCCTTGTCTGACGCTAGCGAAAAAGTAAGAAAAATGAAGTAAAGTTTAGTAGGAAGTACGTGATGTGGTTCCCTGCAAAAAAAAATAAAACTAAGAGCTGCTTACAGTTTGGAGCATATTGTTAAATAGCTAATATACTTTTTGTTTTGTGAAATTTGCACATTATGCTCCCAGTTATTTGAGCTATTTATTAATTTTGACAAGCTCTACTCGTATGAATATAAGTTATTTCAAGTCGCTTGTAACCAATTTCATTATATGTTGTATCAAGCTTGGGCTGCTCTTGTATTTGCCCATCAATATATATCCATTAAGCCTTGCCAATATGCCCCGCTTAGTTTTGCTCACATGCTCCATAGTTTGCCCCAGTTTTCGCACAATGCAAACACGAAATTGAAACACCGAACGGCTTGTTGGAAATTTAAACGCACACTGTCAATGCCTACCTGTATTTCGAAATATTCCCCAGCCAGACCGCCCCCTTCCGCTGCACCGTTGCGCCACGCACAAAACCGTTCATAATAAAATAGGAGCAGGAGCAGGAGCAAAATAAAAAAGAAAAAAAAGATGGGAAACGCCGTCAAAGTCATACGTGCAATGCCGGCAAGTGACTTTATTGTAGGTACGTGACGTGAATTATTGTCAGTGTGTAGGCATGGCGCAGCTAGGTGGGAAGGCAGGCAGAAACTCGTTAGGATTAACAAGCGTTTACTTGGCGCACGGCGTGCAACAGCCGCACAACTTTAACGCCCGACTCCATATATCAGGTGCATTAGCAAGACTGCGCTTGTCACGGGGCGCAGCAGCTAAATTGATGAGCAGCCGGCACAGAGACTCCTGACTCACGACTCCCGCTGCCTCAACGGCTGCCTGGATGGATGGATGAATTGCCGCATAGATACTCCATCGCGACTGCGAGTCGTTGTCATCGTTCTCGTTAAGTGCGCGCGCGTGTTACAGCCATGCCAATATAATGTTTATATGTGTGCGTTCTTGTGTGTGTGTATTCTTACATATATACTTATATATAGTTTTCATTTCGCTTAAGTCAATCGGCTTCTACATCACATATATATATATATATATATATATGTTTGTCTATAGTACTTACACTCCACATCCAATATAATGCGCTTCGAGACAGAGGGCGGCACTCCATTGGTGGCTATGCACAGATAGGCGCCCATTTCATTGCGGCTCACTTTGGTCAATGGCAGGACATCCCCATCGTAGACCAGCACTGTTGTTGATGTTATTTTTTGGTTTTTGATGTTTGCCGGAAGGAAGCGTCCGCACCATGGAAATAAACGTGCAGAGCATGAAGAATTTTCAATGAGACAGCAGCAAAATGACATATGTACATAGATACGTAGGCAGTTCCAAGAGATTTCGGTTGAAAGTTCCTCACGAATGCGAATCTCGCATTGTAAGTTTTTGTATATTATTGCTTGATTCATTATTAGTAAAGCTAAGTCTGCTCTTCAAGCGGCCCTCGTTAGACTTAGCAATTTCTAACCCATCAGAGCTTGCCCATTTCATGACAGACTAGTAAAAATTGCATTAAGAAAGTCTACTTCAATTTTCATCTTCAGAACTTTCCAGGCACCCCTCGTTAGAGCATTTCACATCCCATCCATAGCCATACCTTTCTTCTTTTTCTCCACAGCAATTTCCTCGCCATCCTCGCGACGCCAAATGATTTTGGGCGTTGGGAACCCATCGGCGCGACATGTCATGTTGATGTTCTGGTTTTCACGCACTGCCACCGAAGATGGCGTGCTCTCGATGTCCAGTATGTTGGGTGGCACTGCAAAGCAATTGTGGAGCATTAGCCGGGATTGAGGCTTGGAGCTGTGTGTATCCGGTACTTACCCACCACCTGCAGGTAGCCAACCTGGCTAATCATGGGATTGGTGTTGACCTGGCACATGTAATAGCCGCGATCATCCTGGTGCGCCTGGTTCACGTGCAGCAGCCAGGTGTTGTCGGCATAGGTAATACTATAGCGTGGTATGCGCGAGATGACGTGCCGATGTATAGTGAGTATCATCTGGCGATCTATGTGTATCCAGGCAACCTGCAAAGGACCAATCGATATACAACTGTGCCACACACACTGATACGCACACACAGAATAGCTATAATAAATGAACGCCTTGTTGTGACGCATGAAAGTGGCTAAAAAATGAAAGAAAGCCAGCTTGACAGCTGTTTCCGCTTTTTTAATACACTTTTTCTAGCCGCATCAGTTTGGCTTCGTTTGCTTACAGTGCGTGTGACACAGGGACAGGGCATGCTGTCCTGGCAAGGATTTTGTCCTGCCGCCGCTGCCTTTTGCTGCAAACTTTTCAAATTTACTTTCTGCCCAGTGACAGCAATGAGTTTCTCGTTTTCAGCTCGACAATAACCAGCAGCAGCAGCAGCAGCAGCAGCGGCGGCAGCTCGTTGCCAACCAATGTTGATGAAAGTCCAATAAGAACCAGATAGAAGAAGCTGCCCGAGACAGAGACTCTGGAGTGTTGGACTCGCATGTCCAGTGGCGAGAACAAGGAAAACGAGCAGCAGGCGAGCATTTTATATGAAGTTGATATGGCGAGTAAATATTTGTGATTTGTTATGAGGGCGCGGCCAGTGCCGGCAACTGAGATAAATGATAAGTGATTTTCTAGCCATTCTGTTGGGTTCACAAAGCAGGCTTTCAACGTATTAGTTTTTCTGCCCGTAGTTATCAAACTGTTGATTTAGTTGCCTTTGTACTCTAATGTGGCGACTTCTTCATTATTAGTTTTTCTTTCTCGAATCTAGAACAGTTACTCAACAGAGTCCACTAGGCCACAGCTTGTCATAGACACAGCATCTGGCTCCATTTCTAGCTGTCAATTCAGCATTAGAGTCTGCCTGAGAGTGAGTGAGTGTTGCGAGCAATTCACAAAATTGATTTCAGACAGTTTTGCCAGCCCGAGGCGCCCCGTTGCGAACTGCTTCATGGCATACGCACGATTTATGACACGCTCCTCCTCCTGCCCCCCACTCACCTTGTAGCCGCCCAAGTGCTCGACCACACAGGGCAGATTGGCATCACGGCCAACGGCAACGGTGACATTTGGTATGGGCTGTGCGAAGCGTGGCTCATCCATCATAACTGCGAATGAAGAGCAAAATAGACAACTCGGTTAGTTAATGAGCAGCATCTGCAGCTAAATGAGAATTCAAATATGCTAATGAGTGTGGGTGAACATAATCAGAGAGAGACAGAGTTAACTAAAAACAAATTTGAGAGCGCGCGCTTCTAGCATGTACGACATGGAAAGTGTAGACTTTATAGATGAAACACATTGAGGTTTATTTATATTTATCGTAATTAATGAAGATCTGTGACGCAGCCTAGTCTGGCTCCTTATTTCTCATCTATATTCTTAAAATAATATTTATATCTTTTTATTAATTTTTATTAATATTGTGGAAACTTACATTTTAAAGCCACATTCTAAAAATATTCTCCAATAGTCCAATTATTTGCTAAGCCTGAAATATTCTAGCATTTTAGCCTGGGGTTGCAGTGATTCGAACAAAGCTTTTCAGATAGAACGAGGTGTTGGGTGTCGAAACTGTCGAGTTGAGTCATAATTTAATTAGTAAAATGAGACCTCAAATTGCCCGAGACGACGAGGCTGGCATCAACCAGCTAGATTGCATTCAATTTCAATGCCAGCTCCGTGTCCGGGTCCGGGTCCGTGTCGGGGTTTGTGTTGCTATTGCTGTTGCTGCTCGCAGCTCAGTTCATGGGGCCAGGTGCAGTGCTGTTGGCATGCGGGCCGCCAACTGTGCGTTGAAGATAGCCAGAACCGCTCCGGCTGCATACCCTGCATACCCTACACCTGCTGCATTGCTGTGGCAATGGATGAACGCGGGCATCCACTTGCCGTGCTTAACAGCCTGGCTGATGTTTTGCTTTTGTATGCCATTTCCGCTGCTAAAGAAAAAAGCAAAATACGTACACACATACACAGCCACACAGCACACGTAATGAATGCATAGAAAAACAAAAGTGAATTGCAACAGCAACAACAACCAAGGACGTCCGCAATGCCTCAACAGGCAGCGGTAACCGCCACGGACTACCGACTACGTGCCGACAGCAGCTCCGGCTCCCGGCCAGATAAAAAAGAACGGCGCAAAAAATGAGCTGCTTTGTTAAATTATTTCATAATGACACTAACGCAGCCGTTGATTATATTTGGCCTGCGGGTCATGGACTTCCGGCAGCAGCAGCAGCTGCAACGGCAGTTGCACTTCCAGTTGCAATTGCAATTGCAGTTTAAACAACTAGCCTCAGCTACATATAATTTTTTTTTTATTTGCATTGCATAAGTTTATTTTTTGGCACTCATAATTAATGTATTTAATTTGACACAAATATCGCGTATAGAGAAGTTTCGAAAAAGGTTGTTTAAATTTGCCCCAAAAAGTATGCTTTGATATTTTACTATAGGCCATACGAATGCTGTTACAATTCGAAATTGTTTGCTAAAATGAGCACATACTTTATTGGTTGACTGTGGCCTGATTCAATAAAATGTTTCCTTAATTTTATATTCTGTGCAATTTCATTTAGGCAGACATTTTTGCCGCTGTTCAGGTTCATTCTAGGCACCTCTTTTACTCCAAACTAAAAAAGAAATTTTTTTATTTTTAATTTTACTTAAACTAATTTTATAGTTTTTCCTTTAGCTCCAGTAAATATAGTCCAGTGTAAATATAGTATCAGCAAATGCTTTACAGGATACAAATTATTTACAATTTAATAGGAATTTGCTTCAGATTTTCAGTTGAAATGATAAAATTGCTTTTTTTTCAGCTGTCACATTTTTGCAAAATGGAATTTCGAGGCATAAAAGTTTTGTTAAAATGTATGCAACTGTCAGTGAGAGGCACGGCATCGACTCTATAAATTATATAAGCATTCTAGTTCAGAAAAGTATATAATTTCAGACAGTTGGCCAAATAGGCAGGTCTAAATTTACTGGACTGAATTTAGCTGTGCCATGAATGCAGCTAGCTGTCTAAAACCGAACGTGACGTTGCTCTTGTTTCTAAAACTATCTGAAGCTGTCTAATTGATCTACTGTAATATATAACTTCTATAAAAAGATAATTTGGAATTAAAGATTTAATATTAAATAAGTCAAGTTAACTAAATGCCTTGTTTCCTTCTCTCTCATAACTTAATTGATATCAATCATAGAATATTCAGTCACTCACCGTGGGTCACCAGGTTCGTCATGTAAATGAGGAACATAATCCGCCGATTTGTGAAACGGCTTGGAAATATGTTGAGCGCAATTAGCAAAAGTTTAATTACCGTAATTATAAACATTTTGTTCAGTGCAATTTGTGCGCTTAATTAGAATTAGTTAAATACACACGCACACACTGCGTATATATATATGTAGATTGGTTTAATTACGCGCCTTCTCTCTTCTGGGGTTTTTGTGTTTGGCTTTAGTTTTTCACGGCGATTTCCATTTTTTCGTACATTTTATACATTTGTTTTGCGGTTGCTGTGTTTCGTATTTTTTTGTGTTTTACATTTATTTGATTTGCGTAATTTAATTTGCACACACAAGTGAGCACTCGCGCATATTTCGTATATTCGGGCGATGCCAATTCAAATTTCATTTAGCGAAAAGCTTTAAAAATCGCTTAATTCACTTGACGCGTCGATTCGCATTGTTGTTAACGTTGTTATTGTTGTTATTGTTGTTATTGTTGCTGTTGCTGCTGCAGACGAAACAATGAAAATTGAAAATAAAAAATGCATTGCTGAGCGGATTTGGGGGTGGCAGGAGATATGCACAGAGGCGCAACCGATTTCAGGGATTATAGCATTTATTATTATTATGGCACTCGCTTGCTCCACTGTTGTTGTGCGTGGGAGTGTGTGTGTTTGTGTGCCTCGCTGACTGCTAGCACAACAAGCACACTCACACGCACTGTAGCTCTTGCGTTTTATGGGTTATGACTCGCTCGTTGCTTGTTGTTGCTGCTATTGTTGGCATTTTCGGTTTGCAAAGTTCATTTGACTGCTTCTGTATGTCACTGACTCTATGTACGTAAATGTATTTGTATGTGTGTGTGCGTATGTTACCAATGCAACATTTATTATTAATAGCGCTGTATTCCGGACCAGTGCTGTGTATACAAATGAACGCGTTGCATTGATGTTGCTATTTTATGACCACTACGCAATTTCTGCTGGTTGTTGTTGTTGTAGCGGCTGTCGTTGTCATAACATGGCCACATTTTCATTGCACATGAATTGTTACATTCTGTAGCGCTGCCAACTCTTATTGCATTGCATTTACATGCTTCAAGTGGACATCACGGCTTTCACATTCGTTTTGTGGAACTATTTTGGCGAGATTTTCTTGATTTAAGATACGAGCATAATGAACTGGGGGAACATTATTAATCTAGCGTGAAATGTTCATGTTCAAATGAGCATAAGTAATTCGAGGAGATCAAAGGGCCAGTAGATTAACAATCCCGGCTTGGGTTTGTCAAGAGTTGTTCTATAGTTCAACTAGGCACATGAGACAACGGAGGATTCAGAAACGTAAAGACCACAAAATAGAAAATAGTAAATTTCAAAAATAACTAGCAGGAAACAAAATTGGTCCAGCGAACAAAAGGTGAATTTCTAGCGCTTCACATGATATACAAAGACTTTGTTAATAGGAAGCGGTGGAAAAACATGATGATAAATAAAGCCGAATGCAAAGACTACAAAAATTATCACTTGTGCTTGGCATAGTGAACTTTATATATACGCTATATATTCAACATATGCGATCGATACACGCATCGCATTCAAACTTAAGTTTTGAAACTATTGCCATAGTAAATCCTATAGATATTCTCCATTTACTGCAGCTATAAGACCTCATAACTCTGCTTTTCATAAAAGTGTATTTAGACTTCGTTCAGGCGCTTCGGCATTTTTTCTACTGTCTTTGCATGTTTGCGCTTAAATGCACTTTAACTGACTGATACGTTTGGGTTTTTGTGGCGCCCTGTGACTTGGCCAGTTCAATTTTGGCAAATGATTTATGAATGCATGTGACATATCAGCATCCGTGCCCAGTCGCCTATCCCCCTTGTTGCCACTCCCATCACATCAGTTGTCGCATCAAGACATTAATATTTGATTCAACTGTCGTTTTTTTTTTGTCATCAGCTCTCGCTTGGCTTAAATATATTTATACGTTTGCATTTAATAATAAAAGCGAATAATAGTATAATTCTTTCATTTTTTCTGTCGCTTTCAAGGTATTTAAAGCTCTGCCTGGCGTAACATTTACATGCCGAAAAAAGAATGAATAATAATAAAAAAGAAGGAATACGTAAATAAGTGTTCAGAGTTCATCTCGGTTTTTATTTAAATGGCAATTTAATATTTTTGTTCACTATTTGTTGTAATGCTCATAAAAAATGCAGAGAGCGAGCTTCAAAAAACTCACTTGCATTAAATATAATTGACAGTGTATAGAACAAAAGGATTTGTTAACTCTCGTGCTCCTTTTCGAAATGTAATAAATGAAAGCTTTGATAATGGCATTTACTGTTTTAAAAACTGCAATAAAAAGGCGAAATGCGCTTTAAATTGTTTAATTGCGCGTTGCGCGCAATTAAAGTATAAATTATTGGTTGCGCTGCAGCGCAGGCTATCGAATTTAAATGAAGAATATTAAATAAATTAAATTGATATCGAATATTCATGCTAGCTAACGGATTGTTAAATATTTTCCCTGCGTTTTCAAACTGTAAATTTAAGGCCATAAAAATATACTTTTCATAAATTTTCTGCCTTTAGTTTTATTTTTTTCTATTACAATTTTTGGAAAATAGCTCAGGTTTCAAATTTTCTTTTATTTACTACATTTTATTTGGGTAAATAAATTTCATTACACAAGTTAGTAGTGTTGGGTTTGTACTTATCGGAAATGTTTTTGCTTTATTTAATTTTAAATTTATTGAACAACTGCTCTGTCCCTCTCATCTATCTGTAAGACAGAGGATAACTGGTTGAGAAATGAAAATATTTTTAAAAATTTAAATTAGAAAAAGTTTTGCTACTGAGATGTAGAACAATATATATTGTTTGAAAATACTTCAAGTTCTTGCTACGGATACAGCACTTTCAGAATCTTAGGAAGAGTAAAACATCTTGGCTCAGAAACCTGAACAGAATTTGTATTTTTGAATATAGAGACAAGTTGAGAACAAAGAGCCTGAATTTGAGGTCTAACAAAATTGCTTAAGTCATATCATTTCCTCGACTTCATTTCATTCAATTCCACTTCTCTCGCCCAAATATGTTATATAGATATATTCATCATAAATAGCGCATTTCTATTTAAATTCGTCAACAATTTCGTTTCATAGAAATATCTAAATTTCAACCAACGCTTTATACGAAAACAAAGCAACTAAAAATCAATTTCAATGACCTCCAAACAGCTGTCACAAATTTACATATGACGCGCCACATATTTGGGCAGCCACCAATACATGTGCTGGCCCACACATGACTAACTAAGGGGGCGTGGCTGGGTGTGCGTGTGTGCAAGTGAAGTCTGCTGGCGAAATGGGCGTTTTGTTGCTTGCTGCTGACATTTTATGGCTGACGACAATGTTTTTGCCTTCGTCACGCCCCCCTAGGTCAGCCCCCACAAATATAGCGTACAGCAGCAGCAGCAGCAGGGAAAGTAATTAGGTTGAAATTACAAATTATGGGTTCATGTACCAGATTATAGCGACAAAATCAGAGAAACGCACATGCCTGGAAATTACAGCATTTATTTTCGGGTCATATAGTAGAGCGGACGGAATGGAACCTAAATATCCAAATGGACAGAGCGCAGCAGGAGAAGCGGGAGCTCCAGCAGCAGCAGCAGCAGCAGCAGCTCGTTAAAAAGCACTTAGGAGCACAGGGGCATAAAATCGGTACGTCAGTCGGGTAATTATGATGCAATCAGTTTGAAAACAAATGAACAAAGCTAAAAAAATCACGCTGACATAAATAAATGGAAGCGAACCTTTAGAATAGCAAGGAATTCATATATTTATAAACGCAAATGCATTTGTTTCTTTTATTTTTTTTGTGTTTGTTATTTTGAGTTAAATTTTCCATTCCATTCGCAGAACATAAATTATGCGAGAGCTGGGCCAAAGAAATGGCAACCAAAAGGCTGTCATCTCGACTGCATCTTGAGTGGCGGCACAGCCAGACAGGCAGCTGACAGCAGCCAGTGCAAATGGAATCGCGCCTGACAGCGTGACGTCGTGAAGAGAAAGGATAATGGATAATGCAGTAGCTGTAGCTGCAGCAGTAGCAGCAATCTTATTGCCAAGATGGAAAGGAGTCATGCACATGACCATACATATACTATATATACATATATATATATATATATATATATATATATAAATATTTGCCTTGCTGTTGCCTCAACAAGTTAAGAAGTTAATTTGTATGCACGAGGCGAAACAAAGGCAAACATTTAAAAATCCATTCAACATTATAATTGCAATCCCAAATAAGGAAAGGACTCATTTTTTTGTTATTCCAATATTTTTTTCTGCTAATTAGCTCATTTTGGCTATTAGTTGTGGCCTTTTGTTCGGCTGGAGGACATGCAAAACAATACAATCGAGTGCCCCTTGGCCGTTTGCTCTTGGCGTATAAGAAGCAGACCACATAAGCAGCTTAAAAATATGCAAAAAAATTAAAAAGAAAGAAATAAAAGAAAAGAAAAAAAGAAAATAAAGTAAAAACAGCTTTGTGGTCCATTTGAGCAGCAAAGACGTGAGTACTGAATATTTATAACATGTTTAGGCACTCATATCAATACTAAGAAATTGAGCTTAATTTTGTTTGTGGTACGAACATCAAAAGTGGTTTCTCTCTAAAAATTTGTATACTTCACTTTATATTCTGTAGAGGCTATAAGTGAAATCAATCAAACAAATTTTCTTAACTTATATTCAGCACATCAAACCACATCAATAAAAACAGTTTTTATTACACTTTTCAATAAGTCAAGATTTGATTTATTCCCACAGCGCTGCCGATGCACTAAGCACAAATCTGTCGTGCAGCAAAAAAGATAAGCGATTGTTTTATTTATGCAGCGCTATCAATAACTCTAGAGCAGTTGAAGCTGGCAGCTGATGTCCTGGGGGAGGGACACGAAGCCAGCTATAACTAGACAAATGATAGAAAAACCATTGCCGCGTAATTTGGATGAGAGTGCGGCGGGCTAGCGCTTACCGCTGAAACTAGTGTAGCGTGAGAAGGCACAAGGCACGAGACGTAATGCCTTTACAAGCTGAAGGATATTAAAAACAAGTGCGCCAAAGTGCAACGGCAACGGCAGCAGTAGCAGCAGCAGAAAATGTTGCATAAACTTAACATAAATAATGAAAGCAATATTTCAAGCCAGCCAGCAGGCAGGATGAAACAAAGCGGACTCCTGGAATAAGGAGCTGC